ATGAGAATAGTATATTCCCTCATTACTTTCTATACCTAAGCCTTATTTTCAGCATTCTGATTTCAGTCCATCGGCTTTTAGTGCCCTCATTAGCAGATCCAAGGCAGATACAGTCAAGTTGCTTTCTTTTCCTAGTTGTTTCAATTTCAAACTTTTGCTGACTACAGAAAAGAATTTTATTTAACCAGATTATTACAGCTTGTGGCAATGCAGATATCAGACTTGTATGTGAAGTATTTACTGCTGTTGTATTGGTGGCTGCTGAGAACATATGATGTTTCCTTTTCAGTACTGCTTATTTGTTGGTATGTTTCTGTTATTTACCTTAACTACTCAGTAAGTTAAACAGGTACGATTCACCGTGGTAAATAGGTAATATATAACGGTATTTCTGTCTGTTTCTGTAGTACAATAAAATCAAAGTAAAGAACCATCAGACAATTGAAGACATCTGTTATCCTCTAATGATTGGCATCTTGAATTACACTGTGTCATTTTGGAATGACAAATTTTTTATTTACCAGCACACACTTCTAACACACCCCAAGTCTTCAATTATATCAAACATATTTTTGATATGTGGCGTGTTTTAGAAGTAAACAAATCATAATTTTATATGTATGTATGATCTAAGAATTCCTTATATATATCGTAAAATTAGCACAAAGTTGGATTTCATATATCTTTGTTCTTCTGCACTATGCTTGTTAAAAGTTTGGTTTTGGTGTACAGTACAGAAAGCCGTACAGAAAAAAAGAGAGTTAATGCAAAGAATAGAAAAGCAAAATGCTTTCTCTGTAGTCTTCAGATGACGCTTCTGGAAATTCAAGTACTTGCTACCTGCTATTCTCCCACTTTTGTCCCTGAACTTCCATTTCAAACTAAGTGTTTGTAAGCTAAAAATGCGCTAGAGATCCTGGCTAGTAAGAGGAAAAAGAATGTTTAAATTGATTTCTCCATTTATTTTGTGGTTTTGTTTTTTAAGAAACCCGTGCATTTTGATCAGTCCGCCAGAAATTTCTAGCAGCCATGTGCATGAAGTGCACTTATCTGTAATGCTCATCTCTAATTGACAATAGTGTCCAGCTGATTATAAGATCAAGGCTCAGTTGTGAACATAGAAGATTCTGAAACCGTAATGTACTTTTCATTATTTTATGCTAAAAAAAATATAAGATTATTTTTTCAGGTGTAAGTTTCAACCCATGACTTCATACTTGCTTCTCTCCTAAGTCAGTGAAAGTTCAGTGTTATTGGCTCAGTGAGAAAATTCCACTTAGCAAAAAAGAATACATTGGAGACAATGGAAGTTTTGTTGCCAGGTATCATAGAATGACTTGGGTTGGAAATGACCTCAAGGATCACCAAGCTCCAGTCCCCCTGCTGCATTTAGGGCTGCTAACCTCCATAATTAATACTAAACCTGTCATATTCCTATTATCAAATCACCTGCTCTGTTATTTTATCAGAACTATCTTTTTTTAAAATATTGTTACATTTTTATGGCTAAATTATAGAAATATGTATTTGATCTTCCAAAAAGTTTCTTCTTATCCCAGCTCTTGTGGTAAAAAATATTTACTCTTTCACAAATGCTGCTGGTAATGCTGTGTCAATAATTATTAGGCTTTATAATTAGATGGGTGCTCTGTTTATAGATAAAGTATCCAGCTTCCCACTTAGTGTAAGGATTGTGGAAGAAAAAAAAAAATACCAAAACAGGTCACCAGTGTGACTGTTTAATGAATAAATTATAAAGTATAAGTTTAAGCAACTTTTGTTAGAGAACTACTTGGAAAATGCCACTTTTTATAATGAATAATTTCATTACCAGCTCAGCATTTTTTTTTTTTTTTTTTTTTGGAGGAAGGCTCAAAATGTGGATAGATCATGAGAGAGAAAGGAATAGAAAATGACCTGAGATACACTGTTAAAATGACTTTTCTTCTTGCAGAGGGAAAAATAACCATTGACCTTCCATTGACTTGGGAGGGAAGCTAATATAAAGTTGCAGGTTGAAACCACAGCAATTATTTTGAGAGAACAGCTAAGTAAAAGAAGGGGAGAGGATTCATGCTACTTTCTCTGACTCAAAGATGTATTATCAAATCGTAATGAGACCAAACAGACAGGAAAGGGCACATTTGTAGTGAGATTAAATGTAGTTGCTAAAGGATAATGGTCTGTATGCAAAACTCATACTTAAAGCTCATATATTAAATGCATTTTTCAGTTGGTGGATGAGAGATCTCCTCATAGGTGAAGAGGACATTTGCAAATGATGGGTGGAAAGGCAATGTTACAGAATGAGCAGGTTAGGAAGGAGTCTGTAGCAGGAATGGATTTAGGATAGCAAGGTGTTTAGGAGCTGACAAACAAGTGTAATCATGCTAAGCAAAACAAAAACAATCTGTGAGGACTGGGCTTTAGTGGATTTCATTAAGGTCTGAATCAGAATCAGAGTTCTCTGAAAAATTACCTTGAAAATGGGGAAAATATTTTCTCTGACTCTATGCTAAAGGCAAGTTTGGTAGACAAAATTATTCTTTAAATTTGTACTAGCTCATAGCAGGGTTTATTTATTTATTATTATTATTATTTTGCAAATGTGTTTCTGCTTGTTAAACTTGAGAATTGTTTTTCCCTTAGATATAATAGCTTTCCCAAGGGCTAAAGTACAAATCTAAATTGGATGCGCACTCTCTACTCATCAAGAAATTTTGGCAAGAGGCCACTGGGGAGTTGTCCACAGTTAGTGGAATTGCTGCATTTTAGATTCCACATTAATGCTTTCTGGGTATATCTCCTATTTGGAAGTCTGCACTGCTTGAGAAACCACATAATTTTGACAGAAATACATTCTGCTTTCGTTCTCAATGAATAATCAGAAGACTTTTCCTGTCCCTTGTGTGACATCTCTTAGTATAATGATGATTTTCTTTGAGTGATTTTCCTGGAATTGTAGGGGAAAATAGAAGGGAAAAAAAAAGGAAGAAAGAAGTCTAATTAAGAAAAATGTGTCATGGAGAAAATATCAATGTATACTTAAAACTTCTGGTTTTATGTGAGATAATTTGACTTTTCTTTTTTAAGATGAAATCATTTTTATTTCATAACTTGAATATATCCAATGATATAACATAGTCGTAGAATGATTTGATACAAAGAACTTGTGTATAGTAACTATTTCTTTTAATTATTTGTATGTGGTTGTTTTGTTTGGTTTTTTTTTTTTTGCTCTTGCAAGATTATACTTCATTTTATACTGTGTTTAAATAAAATGTGACATCTGATATCTATTGACTGTAAAGAGGTTTAACTTGCAGCTTATTTATTCTGTAACGTGCTATGAACCCTAACGAAGGCCTATAAAACAATAACCAACTGAGTACAGTATTTGGAGGAGATATTCTATGTTATTAGTAGCTGTTGGCATTTGTTGTAGACCAATTTTAAGAGAAATAATGTAGTCATATATTGAGTTAAGCAAATGATTCAAAAGAAGGAATTGCACTAGATACCTCTATTTAAAAGGGTTTTATATATTTTATTAAAAACTGATAAAATAGGGAAACAACAAGGAGGCTGATAAATCAAACCAGCTTTCATCTTGTTAAACTTGTATCTGAAAGGCATGAGGTGTCATTGCTCTGAGAACAGTGATGTGAAATGTGATGCACGTGATGAGAACAGTGATGTGGATGGTGACCTGTGTTTCCAGCAAACAAAGGTGCTCTGCTCTGAGAAGCAGTTAAGGAAAAGCAGAGTCCAAAAAAATAATGATCACTGATTTAAAAAAAAAAAAAAAAAAAAAAAAGTCAAGTTGAAAAACCCAAGGGCCCATACATCTCATGGGAACTTTGATGACAACTGAAATGCAATTATCTTTGCAAGGTCTGTGTGCTAATTTATTTAATGGTGTCATCCATAGCATTGGTTTTATTTGTTTATGAATTCTGGCTCTTTTTGTTCAGTTAGTTTGCAATGGTAGGAACTACTTCTGCAATCTGAGTTGCCAATATTTTCATTTTACTGAAACCCAAATATAGCATCACTGTTGTTTCCTGTTCCTGTATCTGATGTGAAGTTCTCAAATCAGATTTATTTATTTATATATTTATGAACTAGAACATATCTGGTATTTGATTGCTTAATTTGGACTAAACTGAGCTTTCACAGAGTTCACGTTATACTTATTGAATTTGAAAAGATCTGGTTATAAAACAATAAAGCAGTATTTCTTTTTCTCAGTCTTTGCCAAACTTGAGAAGGAAAATATAAAATTCCTCAGAAGTTTCCTCGTTTCTGTCCTGATCTCAGACTTGCAGCAGATCAAAAATGTTTTTGATGTAAAACATATATTTTATGATAGAAATGCTTTTCTTGTTTTGTTACAGCACGTAACTATTGAAACGAAACATCAGATTACAGGAAAAGCAGTTCTTTATTTGTTGGTTTGCTCTAGTGGGCTTTTCTTTTTCTTTTTTTTTCTTTTTTTTTTTTTTTTTTTTTTTTTTCCTTTTCAGAACAGCAATGAAGGCAAGACTACTTACAGATATACTTCCAACAAATAACTTTAGTTTTGTGTGAAAGTAGCATTAATAGATAAAGGGAAGATGTAAAGACCTTAAACTTGAGGACTGAAAATACTGCCTCAGTTTTCCTGAGGGGCGGAATATCTGCATCAACTTGTTACCTATTTTTTTCTGAAGACTTTGAATTTATTTCTCATAATTATCTGCCATGTTTTTTGAGAATGCATTGCAAATGCAAACTTGTTCCTTTGCTACCAGTTTTGCTGCCACTATTTCTACTGATAGACATTTCCAGGAAGTACATCACACATTTGATTTTTCTATTTGGATTCTTTCATATGCGTTTGATACTTGAAAGAAACCAACATTTGTTGCCATATACTGTGTTGTAGTTGTGATGCTTTAGCACATCTGCAGTTGAAACTTTTGGTGATTTCATAATGAGCAGACTTTACTATTTTGCAGTTCCAAGCTAAAGAGAGAGAAAAAAGGGAGAGGAGAAAAAACCAGAGATTGTAGCTCCACACCCAGCGGTGAGTACATTTGTGCTTTTCTGATTCGGGTTCACACCTGCCTTTTTCCCTTCTATTTCATCTAAGACTTCATACTGACTGTTCCATCTTTCTCAACTGATATAGCTTGATTGCTCTGGCTTGAATTTTAAGGACATGGATAGAATGATGAACTTCATGATGTTGGACTGATACTAGTTTGTAGTCTGTAGAGTTTGAGAAAGGAGTAGGAGAAGTACGAAGCCTTAGTAGTGGCATTTAGCATGGAAAATGGAATTGTTAGGATGGATTTTATTTTTCCACTGACGCTGTATGGAAGAGTTATTACAGAAATGCAGACTAGATAAATATGCTTTTTCACCTAATGGACTAAAAGTGTTGTAGCCACAACACCTTTACACTACAGTTAGGACTGAGGAAAAAAGTCTCTTCCTTCTTGTAAGATATTTTTTAGGACCATATATCTCACAAAGAGAAAAGAAAAAGCTTACTTCAGCATAATGGACTTCATTAAAGTTTAATTCTTTCAAAATGTCATTTGGATCTCCTCAGAGTATTTATTTCGAAAAATGTTGTTCTTACATTCTCTAGTGAAAGTCTTTTCCTTTCTCCTTATTTTTTTTTCCTTCCTTCTTTTTTCATCCTTCCTTTCTTTTTTTTTTTTTTTTTTTTTTTTTTTTTTTTTTTTTTTTTTAGATATAATATAAGCCAAGAGAATAAAATGTACTGCAAACAGAGAAATCGCTGCTGATGCTATCTAAATTAGAAAAATCTGATTCAGCTCAAAAATACACTGAATTGTTCCTCATGTCTAACATGTTTCTTATGTTGATGTTCTCAAATGGAGTTGAGTAGGGGAAAAATAAAACACTTCTGAAAAGTGCTTCTGTAGAAAAAATAAATCATTCTGTAATTCTTATTCTTTGTCAATGATAAAGTAATAGAAGACTTTTAGGGTTTATGAAACCAAGGTTCTCTTTTTCAGCCTGCAGTTTCCTTTTCTACTCCTCAAAGTTATTCAATTTAAGCATTTACCAAGGCTGGCCAGCTGATGCTGCAGGTACATTTGGTAGGTGAGACAGGCTAATGGGTCCCTGCATCTAAAGAAGCACAAATCTTGCTATTGCCCATATGGTTCCCCCTTTGCTGTTACTGGTGTTTACTTGGCCCATTGTGTGCTTTTTAAATCACTAACCACCACCAAACTTCTTTCCCTTCATTAGCCTATGTACTGATTCCACACAGTGACTTGACTCACTAAGAGGAGTGAGTGTCAGAGACAGCTGAAGGAATAATTAAAGCTCTCAGTGATTTTAGGAAATCGTTCTTGCATGTGTATAGCAGCAGTTGGAATGCTCTTTTGTTTCCAGCAGGTAAGAAGGTCTTATTCTGATTCCATTTCTGCCTGTTAAAGACCATTTCCTTCCTTTTTCTCCCACAAGAAAAGTTCTAGAAAGAGTTCTGAAACCTGTATTTTCTGATGGGGGATGGGAGGAAGGCCCACTTGGAACATTCTCGGATTCGCTGCTGATTAGATTGCCATTCCTTTTTGGCTTAGTGTTTAGATACTTTTCGTCTCATATATAACAATAGTCTCAGGTTATGAGATAGGATATAAGGGAGAACTTACTCTATCAAATATTCTTATTGTGCTCTTTGTATCTGTTGTAGTTTCCAGGGAGATAAATAGAAGGCATTGCATATGGAGAAACCTACATAATTAACACTGGGTAAATGGATACTGCTTATATGCTGTAGCACACAGACAGTGTGCATCTGACAAATAGAAAAAGTATAATTTCAAATCTCATACACATATAGCTTTACATAAAATGTATATCACACAGAGCTTCTCAGGGTTTGCTATACTAGTAGCAGAGATTTGCAACGCCTTTTATTTTCTTCCTTAAAAAAAAAAAAATCTTGAAAATTATAGTTGGCTTGCTTTTTATTGCAGCGTGAATTCAAAAAGATCTTGTTTCCTCTGGAGACTGCAAGCAGTTACATATCATTGCAGGTGGGGATTGTTTTCACTAAGTTGTCTCTTAGTTATGATATATAACACACCATTTTACCTAAATCCTGGAGTTGCTGGTACTTTCTGCGTGGCAACAACTAAGAATCGTATGTCAGTAATTTATAACCACATCAGTGAATCGCTGGACCACAGCCATAGATTGCAATATCATTTTTCAGGGATTAACAGGTCTTATAGCACACTTTTCCATTGTATCTTACAAAATCTGTAGGTTGCTGTAGAAATTATTGCATGTTGAGACATCACAAATGTTTGTGCATTACAGGAAGTGTGAAGAAAATCTGCTGCAAGACATTTACTTCATTTCAGCATTCTGAATGCGAGCCTCACTTTTTCATCAGTGTACTATGTCATGGGATCCTATCACGTTAAATAAACACATTAAAGATTGTATTGGCTGTGTAACAAGCCTGTTTGACATTGAAAGATTTTAACATGCCTTCTTTACCTAGAAAAAAAATGAATACAGGCACATTTTATGGGCCAAATGACAAACTATAATGATTAATAGACCTATTTAAATGAATAATTGTCCTGTGTACTGTACAAGTTTATGTTGTACAATGGCTATGTATGCAGCAGCTGACAAACTTCTTCTATGGAGATGTAAAAGACAAGAATTGGTAAAAATAACACAGCTGAGCCAGGCCAAGCTAAGAGTAAGCCTGATGGATATTTCAAATGACCTCAGTGAAGTGGAGAGTATTTATTGACATCTGAAGGCTTCCAACACCCTCCCCCAACTTTATTTCAAAGTCTTTCTTGATTTACTATAGAAAGTCGTGTTTTAAAGACCTAAATTAATCCTAGTGAAACAAATCAAGGCAAATTTTCTTTGTTCTGTACAAGATCTTGATTTATATTTTTGCTTGCTTAAGAAGGAATTAGTGTGGCTATTGCAGGTATAAGGGAATTGGAATTTATGTGATAAATACTTTAATTTCTGTCTTTTCATTTCCTGAGCACTGTCATGAGAATTGCCTGCTGCGTAGGCAACTGTCACAGCGCAGGTGGGGGATGTGGTGTGTGTCTTCAATTAGTGCTGACTAGTAAATTTATCTGTGTTTAACCAGGTTTGATCAGATTTATATTTAACCCTAGCATAGACTTGGACAGGTGTATGTGAGTATTTGCTTTCATGTTACAACATTCTCTGTCACAATGTGTGATCTACTTGATACACTTCATAGTATCACTATGCTTCTTTTTAAAGGTTCTTTATGCTTTTTTTGTTGTTGTTGTTGGATATTTGTCACTTTTGCTGTTTTTCCTTCACTATAGTCTGCCAAAAACCTGTCAATCCTTGTTCCTGCCAATTTACTCATTTGATAGTAGAGAAATTCCGATTCCTGTGGTTGAAAGATCCAGAATTACATTGCCTTTCTATATTTGTTGTTAAAAGTTAAAATAATTTCAGAATAAAGGAGGATCTCACTGGTTTTTATTTCCATAGTATTAAGAACACTATATATACGTCACAGTATTGGTCTAAGAATAATTAGTGAAAATTATTTACTTGGCCAGATTTTTCAAACAGACTCATATAGGGTCACAGAGAACAAAAAAGATTTCCCTTTTGTTAACATAGTGCCAGTACAAGCAAGAATATGAGAAAAGAAGGACAGGAAATCTCACTGATTGAATTAAGGACTTGCCTATTTCTGCCGTGGACAACACAGATTTGATGTGGGGAACATTAATTTTTCAACAGTTAAAATAGATTTTGGTATTGAGAAAGTATAAAAACTCACTTTTCCTTCCCACCCTATAAAAAAGTACTTTAAAACACAACTTCCTGAGAAGAAAAACCTAATGAAAATAGAATAAGAATAAAAGTCAATGGCCAGTAAGCCTGCGATGCCCTTACAGAATCTTTCCCTATCATTCAGATCAGCTTTTCTTTTCTTTTCTTTTTTCTTTTTCTTTTTCTTTTTTTTTTTTTTTGAGGCCTTTTGGCAACAATAAAGACAAGTAGAAATAATCTTCAGATAACGTATGTCCCCAAGGCAATACAGACTGCAGTCTGCAGAAAGAAATGAAATAACTTTCTTAAAATGTTTTGTTACAAAAACATATTTTTACAGCATATATATATAAAACCCATAATTATGTGGACTAGCACAAAATAATGCACTGCAAACAGCATTTCTGTTTCAGACATCTTGATGCTATTGCCATTTCAGAATTCCGGGGAATTATGAGATAGTATTATAAAAATTTGCCCAAGCATTTCCTGTAGATTTATGAAAATGCTGAAATCACACATTTTTATTCAGAGACAGAACTACTGATTTCTTTTCAGTCTAAGATTCTCACATTTTCTTTTCACTTGGTTTTACTTTTTCATTTTAGCAGATTTTAGTGTAGGGCAATGGGATGAGAAGTCTGTCTTTTTTTTTTACATTTGCACCCTTTCCATGCTTATGCTGTTAGTTCGTCCCTTCTGAAGAAAACAGGATTTTCCATCTCTGATCCAGTAAATGGAAAATTGTGTTGAAATCTACGTTGTGGGGTCATGAGAGGCACAGTGTGAAGGATAACCTATCAAAGGTTTATGGGAGAGTATACAGTTTGCTAGGGCTTCTGTCTCAATATTATGAATGAAGGTTCTCCTGATCTGCTGAGCTTTGCCCAGTTAAACCACATCAGTGATGGCACCTCTGCTGCCCTGGTCCTTTGGTTTGTTTGCATGTTTGACAGTGTTTCTTGATTAGTTTGTGATTCAGACCTTATTTAAGATAATTAACTTAAATAAATTAACATACCACATTTATGAAACCTGACAGGTGTAGATGAGCAGTTTTGTTGCATAAGAACATAGGTTTATTGTTTACATATGAATTTTCAGTTAGAAATTACCTCTGATATCAGCTGACACCCTGCAGTTGTATTTCAGATCTTTCACGAAATTCTTGCAGCTATGTTTGATTTCTGTATGGAGATAGAACTGACTGAGAAATATCACCTCACGTTCACTCAGTCCTAGAGAGGAAAAAAAAGTCTCTCGTCCTCTTGTGTCATATAGTTCTTGTTATTTTGACAATGATATATTTAGAAAAGACAGATGAATTGTCAATGCATACAGTTTCTTCAAGGAAGGAATAAGAGTAGAAAAGCAATATAAAGACGTTGGGGGGGGAAAGGGGGGAAAAGTAATATACTAACATTAACAGTGTCCATACAGGATCAGAGATACATGTTTATTAGTACCAGGATGCTAATAGTGTAATTAAAACTGTAAAGGTCTTTGCTTTGTGACATTAATTTCTTTTTATTAAACTCTAATGTAAGTAATGTAATTAGTGTGAATAAAGTGCAGGAGGGAGTTAGCTGTTCAGCCTGTAAGTTGGAACTTTTCAAGGTTGTGTCCAGGTATACAAATTTAAGTTTGCAACAGATACAGCTTGCAGCCTAGCAAAAATCAATAACCTCAACAAATCACATTACACAGAGTTATGTGAATGCCAATTAAGTAAATAAATGGACATAATGAGATGTTGTCAAGGAGAGATCTTAAAAGGAAATAAAAATGACTGAGGATGGAGAATGTAGGTTATAGGAGAAAAGGCAAGAATTCAGAACGACTGAATGTCAGAATGCCAGACTGATTAGTAATCAAGGCACATATGGATAATAAACATATCAGAGAGGTCTGCAAATCTTCAACCACATCCAGAATGCTCTAAAAGATGACTTCAGAAGTTAATTTATGCAAGCAATTTGTTCTCTGGTTCAAAATGACATGAAGTATTAAAGACTATTTACAAGATGACTGTGGCATAGATTGTCAGTGTGGAGAATGATAAAAATATTAATCTGGGAAGAACGTTTCACTTGGTCAAAAATACATAAGATGGTAATGCATAAGCACAGGATGCAGAGTTTAATATGCTCCTGTGATATTTCTAAAGGAAGGAAAAAGAAAGAAATGCCTAAAACTGGAATTACTCTGCTTTTCCTTCAGTTTCACTGACACCCAGAGATAATGTGTTCCATGACTGCAGCTTAGGCAGAGATCTTCTAGGTTCTGTGTTGCTTGAACACCTGTCAGCTGGAAAACAGCTCATCTGTGCCTGCTCCTCCTTGCTTGTTTTATCTTTTAGTTTACTTGGGATGCCACCATCCTTGCCTTTTGAACAATTCTCCTTTCTCAGTGCAGACCTCAGGTTTGTAATGTAAAATCAACCCAGCCTGAAAGAGAACTTGGTATTTTCCTATTCTATTTTTCTTTTCTTTTTCCTTCTGACTGTTACAGCACATGTTTTTCTCCCCTTTCCTTCAGTGGAGACTGTTTCTTGTCTGTTTGATTCGGTAGTTATTCAGGTTCAGTAACAATGCAGATGTAATTCTAAGCAGTAACATTTTTCTCTTTCCTCTAGAGATGCCTTTTTTACCCATCTCTACAAGTGATTGACCTGTAGGTTAGGAGAGGTTATGCAGGAAAAGTTCAATGAAGGCTTACTGCTTTAAACTGCAGAAGTTTCTAAGGAGCTCCCACCAGAAAATTTACTGTGTCAAACAGGTCTCTACATTCACTGAGCAAAATCTTGTCACTCACTAGCAAAAGCATTTGGCATTTTTCAGTACCCGAAAATTTTACAGAGTGGTATTTGGGACCTGTTACTTTGCAATCCCACCACTCGTTAATTATCTTGCTAATGTATTGCTACTTTTTAGGTGTAATGTTTTTTGTTTTATCTCTAGATGTACTTACAGTATATATACCCACGTTCATTTTATGTAATATAAATATATGTTATCAAAGAATAGTGTGTTTTTGATACTGTAACATCCGTAATGGCTCTTTTACTCTTTAAAGCAGTATGAATTTTATTCAAATGTTGTAAAGACAGCCCATGGGGAATATTTTGAGACCATTTCTAACAAAATTCTTGCAGCATCACTATCTTCTGTGTAATAGCTTATCTTTACAGTCTTAAAATAATGTATTTTATATCTTTCAGTCTATCTATCTTATCTTCTTTTACCTATTAGATCTCAGAATTCCTTCCAGAATATCTAGAAAAATGTTATTCACTTCTGAGAGTGCATCTCAAGAAATGGAAAGTATTACATTCTTATGTTGTATAGGAAATTTGTCTCACAGCAAGGCAGGAGAGACTTGGAAAGTTGCATCTGAGTGATCCAAAAGTAGCTCTGAAATGCTATTTCAGCTCTCCAGGAAGATGAAAGAGCTTTTTACTTTCTTGTTACTATTATAATTTCAGAGTGACAAGTGATAAAAGCGGCACTGGGCTGAGTGCTTCCCACAGTTTTTAGCAGCATTTCTGAACCATATGTAATGCATTCCTTATTGACAGAAGTGCAGAAGGTAAGTTGTCCATTCTAAAAAATGGAATTTTGGAGGTTATGCTTCACTCTGCAACTTGACGTGCACAAAGGAACAAGCAATTAGCTGTACAGACATCAATAACACGCACAGATCCCTTTATTCATAGCTATTTGAATGCTAGTTAGTTTGAACAGATAAACAGAGATAATGATAAACTGTCAGTTCAAGTGTTTGGAAGGCAGGTAATGATGACAACAAAAGAAGGGAAATGAGCTGAAGTGGAAGAATAAAAGAATTATAAAAACTTTTGAGTATACTGACACTTGCCAGATGACTTTGAAGTATATTTTGAAGAGGACAGTAGCATGATGAATATATGGAACAAAGCCCACACAAGTGACAAAAGCATAAGCATACTTCTTCCTTGAAAGTATCTGAAATCAATTTGGGCCCAATTTTTTTTTTTTTTTTTTAACTTGAGCAGACTCTGTTTTTCCTCCGAACTATTGTATTCCATCTGCTACTGTTTGTCATTTTGTTTTTTAGACATACTGATAAGGCAGACCTTATTAACAGCTTGAGTCTTAAAGACTACAGTATAAATGTGAAAACAGTGGCATACATTCTGTAAAACAGAATAGGTTGCTAATCCCATCAAGCAATCTACACTGTTTTACTGTTATTACTTAAGGTTCCAGTGCTGTAAAAAATGAATTTAATAATGATTCTGAGAGTTCCTTCTTTTGACATACACGGTGTTTCTATCCTGTCTAGATTCTTTTTTCTTTATGTTCCTATAAACCATTCTGTACATTTTTACCCCTGCAAGAGGAAAAGTTGTCTGTATTGTAAGATTTGAATTTTTTTCTTCCAAAACAATGCTTCTATTTGTCGCCATGCATTTTTTTCTGTCTTCGGAACAGTGGTACTCACTGCAAGGTCCTGGATTGTGTAGTTGTCACAAAGAGTCCTTACAGGAAGCTTATGGGTGATCATTAAGTTACAGAACAGCCATCACTGTATGCGGGAGCTTTCTATAAAGACAGGACAAAATCATAGAACTGCCTACAACAAGTTGATGGACAGAAAGCACTGGCTGCACAGATGTGTCTTAAGCTTGCCTTGTTCAGATCTGCCTGTTGCTGAGCACCTCAGTCATCTAGAAAGGATGACAGAATCTGTTATGCAGAGAAAAATAGGAAGCACATGGTTTACATTGGAGCAGAATAATTTTCTTTCATTTATGGTGGAAACATCCCACTGCAGGGACTGTTAAATATGGATTTAGTACTGATAAAAATATGGCACTAAATGATTTAAGAAGGGTAAAGCGAACAGAGAACCACACTGATAATTCCATTTCCTTGATATGCTGTAGTTTCATGCAGGAATAAGAATTTAACTTGGAATGTAACCCCTTCCCCATAGGCTAGATTTATAAGTTCTATAGGATACTTTGATTAAAAATCAGATAAATATGGAATTTGTCTGAATAATTTGATAGAACATTATAAAAATAATGTAATCTCTCAGTTCATCTGTATTTGTTAATGTCAGATATAATTATTCATCCAATTTCCATCCATCTACTTCATTTATGTTCAAGGGTGGAACCTCAATTATTTCTTTTCATAAAAGTTTTTTAGCACGCTATTTAAAACTCATTGAAATGGGAAACATTAACATTATCTGCATACAAATGAACAGCAGGAGGTGAAGAGGGTAATGCTGGCAAATTTCCAAAGGCTTTGTAGTGCAGGTCAAACAGGCACTTAGCATGTGAGGTCTATATTTAACAGTACTTAGCACTGGACAAATATTGGGGGTTTCAACAGTTAGCCTTTATCTATGAAACTCTCTGCTTGTAATGGGAAATAGCATAAATCAAGTGTCTGTGGTGCATTTGCATTAAAAAACGTTGTATTAGAGTGAATGGTGATGTTCTCCTGCCTCCAGCAGCGGCCTGGAGTTGGCCTCAGCGCTCAGGAGCTCCTAGTGCTTCAGATACCTTTCTTGTTGGACACAACTACTGTTACTATGAATGGGTTTCCTTAAATGCTGTGCATCAGTCTTTAAAGGATATTGTGCCTCTTCTTGTTAGCAAACTGAACTTTAGTTGCCTTGCTTTGTGCCATGCGCATGTGAAACAAGCTCTGAAGTTGATGCAGGCTCTCCGGGTGGTTTTCAAGAGGCCAGGCCACAGAATTGCTGCTCTGTGTTTCACAGAATCATAAAACTGTTTGAGTTGGAAGGGAGCTTACAGATCATTAAGCTCCAGCCCCTGCTTGCATCCCCCAAGATCAGGCTGCACAGGGCCACAGCCAACCCAGCCTTAGGCAGCTGCAGTGATGGAGCACCCACAGCTCTCTGGGCCATTGCGCCAGTGCCTTACTGCCCTCTTCTAATTTAAAGCCTTTTCCCCTTGTCCTATGACCATTTACTCATATAAAAAGTCAGTCTCCCTCCTGATTATAGGCTCCCCTCAAGTACTATAAGACCTTTGTGAGGTCACCCTGGAGCCTTCTCATCTGCAAGGTGGATAAACCCAACATTTAGTTGCAATAAGAATGGTGGCAGTTTCTTTATCCCACTGATGGCAAGCAAAGAGCTCCAGTGCTTCCACAAGATTTCATTGTGTAATAAACAGTACTAGAAATCAGGCATCCTGTTACATGAGGAATGGTTTGAAAACAGGAGCTTTCAGGGCTGTCAGTACAATGGTTCCCTATGACCCAACCCACACATGTGCCCAGCACCATGCCTGCAGTGGTCATGTGAAGGGAAGGACCAACACTAAACACTCACAAAACGCCTGTTGTGCTTTCTCAAACTGTTGCCATAACATGCTAATAACTATTTTATGATCTTACTAAATAATAATTAGAATTCCTAGTACCTGTCTTGGCTGATTAAGGTAATTATGGTGCTTCCTAGTACGGCAGTACCTCAGATTACTGTTGCTGTTTGCTTCTCTTGCCAAGTATAAACCAGGAATTTTTGCACGGCCTCGTTCAGGAACCATTGCAGTTGGATACGAATTTGCATGCGTGCAGCTGTGCTCATCTTGTACTGCTTTCAGTGACCAGCGTGCAATGATAGGTCACTAAATGTCATTCCCTGATTCGCGTAGACGCATTGGGAACTTGCATCAAAAGCAAACAAAGAGAAAAAGCAGCTCTTCTTGCACGAATCCGCTCCCACGTGCGAAAAGCGCTGTCTATCCTACACCTCAGCCGGATCTGTGCAGCTGGTTGAGGCGGAGCTCGCGGCTCTACTCCGCACGAGCAGCGGCGCTGCTGGAGGAGCTGCTCCCCAGGCGCGCGCCCCGCCGCTCCGCGCGCAGGCGAAGGTGTGAGGGCGGGGAGATGCCGGTGCTCGCAGCTCGGCCCCGGCTTCTGTCCTCAACGCACCGCGCCGCTACGGATTTCTTCCGTCATTTTGGGGGCTCTTAAGGAGCCGTCGAGGGTTTCTGAGACTCTGCAATTCCGTCTCGACGCTTCCTGCGGCCGCTGGGTAAGAGACTGGGGCTTGCGGTTGTTGGAGCTTGCTTGTTGTTGCGCGTGTGCACGTGAAGGGGCGACAACCTTAGCAGCGCATGGCTGATTTGCTTCTGCTTAATTCTGAGAAAATTTAACCTGGTGCTACAGAAGCGCTGAAGTTTCCACCTACGATGCAATTGCAAGAATCAATGATAATTTCACCCATCGCGTTGCCAGCACGGTGAGTTTAGCACTTCTTCCTTCAAAAGAAAAAGAGACAGAGTGCATCCAGTGCGCATCACCGCGCTCGCAGCTCCCCGCTTCTTCCAGGGGGAGCGGCTCTTGGCCCTGTGGAAGGGCGCTGGGTGGAAACAGCAGCCCGAGATTGCTGTTTTCTGAAGTCAGATATCTCTTGATTATCTTCTCTTTACCTAGTTAGCTTAGGGAATTGAATTCACATTCTGCGTCTGCTTCTTTTTAAAAGGCAAAGCAGGACTGTTCCGCTAAAATACCTTTATCCTCCTTTTTTTTTTTTTTTTTTTTTTTTGTTTTGTTTTGTTTTGTTTTTTGTTTAAAATGGATTGTGGAGGTGATGCTTCAAAACGAGGACTGTAAGGCTGGAATGTTCAGTTAGAGTTAAAACGGCTGACTCACATGTTCGTGGGCTGCCGTTATTGCTTTCACCTGGCTGCCACCTGGTTGAGAAGCGGCGATGCCTACAAACCTCCCGTCTTGCAGGCAGACGTTTTAAAGTAGGTGGCAACGATTCCTACGTATTCAGGTCTGTAACTTTTAAAAAGTGAATATAACGTTCTTGCGGATGTAGACGGTGTGCTCATTTGTCCTCTTTCTTTTGCTTCATGTGTCTTACTAGTTTCCAAAAACTTGGGGTATGTTTGAGTTTTCAGAAGCTGTGTACTTGCACGTGCATGCAAAGTGCAGTGAGCCTTAAAAAGGATCGTGTTCAAATTCGAAGGCTCAGCTGAGCCCCAGCTGGACTGCTCGCAGGCTTTGAACTTTAACGTGTTCTTCTGTCAATATTTGTCTTGTTTGTTGTCTAAATGGACTTCACATTTTTCTAGAGATCAGGGATTTTATTTTTATTTTGTATTTATTTATTTTTCAAGTCCCTGAATCCTCATTCTGTCACATGCACACACACTGATATATGAAAACCTAAACAGCAGTATTTCAAAAATAGCAGAGTAGAAAGTTGGTTTTGTAGTTATGATGGTTCTTTAAACATAGATGGGAAGATCACGACAAAACCACTTTAATGCAATTGGTACAGAACCTTAATGCATGTTTCTGATCACCACAGCCTTTATTTCTGTTTTCTCTAAACCTGTAAATATTTTTTAAAAGCCAGCTGTGGGGAAGTAATCACAATTGGATTTGGCTGAAATGCATGACTGTTCCATTTCCTAAATAATGGAAGTAAAGCGGGAAGAGACTGTTTTAAAAAAGTGTTCTATGTGTTCTGTGCCTATTTTATGTATTTAGCATGTATTATTCTACTGAATTAGCATGGAGATGTATGAATGTGTGAAAATCAAGACAGGTTGGATCTGGATTATATAAGAACTAAAATTTGAGCATTCATTATTTAATTATGAGTTTTATGAGTTTTAAATTATGACTTTTGTTTAATTATTTTTGCTGAACTAATGCAGTCTTTTTGCTGACTCTACTTGCTTTTTGTTATTTCTTGCTTTTCTGTAACTATGAAGTATTTTATCTTGGAACTGGGAGACAAAGCCATTTTAATCTAGCTTCAGTCTGTCAGAGAAGAAGACTGATGAGGGAATAAGGTCACTTTATCCATGTACTCCTTATTCACCTCAAATTTTTCTTTAGGTCTTATCCATTTTTTCCTTCTGACACGCTGTTGGGCATATTTTGGGGTAATACAGTATTTACTTAAATAATGCAGATAAACTAGGGTGTTTCCTTTTCCTGTATTCGTTCACTGAGAAGCAACAGCAGTTGTGAGGCAGAAGTTATTTTAGTTTCCTGAGGAAAAAAGAGTTTAGTGAGCTGTATTCTCACTTGTTTATTAGTACTGCAACAGTACAAAATGATACCAGTGAAAATTTGTGCTCACCAGAAGCATTAGTCTATATTCAGTCTTATCAGTGCTAGTCACTCATTTTTTTCCTGCTTGGCAGGTAAGAATAAATGGCGAATGACAGTACTGTTTGCGTTAGAGTGTTCATGCCTACTGCAGCATGATCATTCACAGGGTCATGTTTTCATTGACACTGTTGTATTTTACATTATTTAATTATTGAGTAAAACTTGTTGCTTCTGTTCTGAAGGTTCAGGAAACCAAACACCTGATTAAAGTGACTACCTATGTATTGTTTCCTCTGTATGAAAAATCTCTATTGAGAGAAATGTGCTTCTCTATGTGGACTTTATTTCCTAATCCAGAGGAGATTTGGAGTTTCCTAAATAAGCAAGAGTTTGTATTAGGCTCTTCTGAAGTCTTAATACATAATAGAGTCCATACTAGCAGAGGCAGGTTTGTCTTTATGGCCTTTTACAAAGCTTTGTGGTTTTTTTCTGATATTCTACTCCTGTTAACACAAACTTATGCTTGCAGGTCTAGGCAAAAAATGCTGGGGAAGCTCTGTTGGTGAGCCTTTCAAAGCTTAGCTTTCTGTTGTGGTGCCAGGTAAGATGGCACTGAATGCAGTTGCTAAGAGTAGTTTTAAGTTGGTTAGATACGCAATCATGTCTTAGGAATAAGAAGTCCTACAATAAACTCTTCATGTTTTGTATTATAGCCTTTCTGCCTGTGAATTAGAACACCTAATGATGTTTTCATTGATGCAAGAGTTGTGAGGCCAGAGCAAATTACTGTTAGTTCAAAACTTTTTCACCCCCTAGAGGCTCTAAGTATTTGTGGTGAGCAGTCACATTGTATTTATGACTGCTGTTAATTATGTGCAATTCACTGGGTCACAACTTCACATGTTAGAAATAATGCTCATAAAGAAAATCCAGTAAGATATAAAGTGAGTTGCAGTATTATTAATGTGTGTAGGTGACAAAATGGAGTCTAACCTCCTTGCTCATGAGGGTTATCTCACTCTATGGAATTTCTGATATATATGTTTTAATATTTTGAATCTTACAGTGAAGCACATCTTAAAATCTTCTTGTAATGTGCTGTCCTCAGTGTTGTACGCTGGCACTGAACGTTTTCAAGTAATGCTGTTCTGTAAACTTAAGTGTTATATTAACACAAGAAAAAAAGAGAAAACTTACTGTCAACAATTCTATTTAGAGGCTGCAGTAAGAAAGAAGCTAAAGTGTGACGCAAAAGCATGTTTTCTGTCATCTAGGTGTATCAGCTTAATCTAACGTTCAAACAGACGTAGCTCCAGTTAGCTAAGATTGTTTTTATTCTTAATCTGTGTAAGAAAACACTGACTGTTCTACAGAGCTGAGCAAGCAGAGAAGGAAGACAGCTTCTCTATCCCTATCATCAGTATTTATGTTTTTACTTCATAGCTATTAATTATGATTCAAGTTTAGCATCTTTCACATGAAATTTTTTTTTGTTGTCTTTTTTTTTTTTTTTTATAAAAAAGAAGCTTTTAAGAAGTATAAGAAGTGTTTTTAGAAGTATATGATAATGCTACAATTGTCATGGCTGCTAATAATAGCAGCCTAATAAGATATGGTATGGTAAGGCTGCTGATTATAAGACTTTGACTACAAAATGTTGAGAAATTAATGACATTTACCTAACAGTCTCCTTGAAACAGATCTGTAATACTTCGGCCTTTGTTGGGGTAAGACCAACAGCCATATTTGTATGCGTTGGGATTAAATTATTAAGGTGATGAGAAATTACATTAGCCTACTAAACTGTAGTATAGTATGATCTCAGTTTGGATGATAAAGGGCTGCCATGAATGAAATAAGGAACTGCAGTTTCAAATTTGCAGTGGTGCATAAAACTGGAGCAGAGTAGACCAGCTGGTAGGTGGTGGTTACAAGATAACAATCCTTTCTAAGAGCTAGAAAACAAACTTGAAAGGGTTTTTGAAAAATACAAATTACTGCTGTGAAGACTTGTCAGGGTCCCATGCCATTCCCAGGCACAAGTTATATGCTGGTTGTAAAGCTGAACGTAGATTTAGTTCCAGCTCGCAGCTTAGGTGCATAACTGTATTTGATTGCAGTCCTGGTTGGTGGGTGTTGGGCAGGGCACTCACAGGATGTCAGTTGTTACCCAGTGTTTTATGGACACACCTCACTGCTCACTTGCTTTTTCCAAACACGCATTTAAATGACAAAGTAACTCGTACAGAAATTTGTTAAGGAAACTACTACTTAGAATGGGTGACTGTCATAAGATCAGGCAGAAGTTTCTGATGGCTGGTCTTAATTGGATGTTTCAGAAGAGCCTCTCTATCTTAATAATTTTTGCTGCAAGAAGAACTAAAACACCCAGACGCTGTGATGGACTGTCTGGACAGCTGCTCTCTCTGTTTCATAACTGTCTCAAAGCAGTGAACCAGATGGGTTCAGTTATCTGTAAAATAGACTTCTGGGAGCTTATGACAAAGAAAGTTTGTAGTGATACATGGAAAGCCTTACGAAGACAAATGTTCATCGCTTATTTTCTAAAAGGACCTGATGTGTACTAGCAGACTTCTTTTTTGGAAGTTACCTCGTTTGCATCTTGCAGAGTTTGAGAAAGTTCTAACCTTCAGGCAAAGAAATTGCAGAAAAAAAAGGCTTTCTATGCTATAAAGTGAGAGTTTGCTTTTTTTTGTGTGTAGTTTTGCATGTATATACACATATGCAGCTGTTCAAATACTTCTGGTATTGAAATTACTTTTATTGATCTTTGTTAAGATTGTTATTTTCTTCAGGTAAGCTTGCATTCTTCTGTATGCATGAGAGGTATATGTTACACGTTCTATAAATGTGACTGTGCAATGAAGCTATCAATTTAAATGCCCCAGAGGAAGTTACTGAGAGTTCTACATTGCATTTGTGTACTGAATAAGCAGA